GGCTCCAGCAGGCAGGAGAAGGGGAGCATGGTGGATGGTCTGTGAAACCTTGGCAACCCTCTCTGGAGCAGGACTTCAGGACCAGCACAGCTCCAGCTTGGCACCTTCTGGCATCTCATAATAAGAGCAGAGCTTGTCTTTCTGCTAGGCTGAGGATGCCTTGGCTGGCTTTGCCTTAGCTTAGATGAGAGGGTTTCCTGCCTTTCCAGCTCCCCAGGGAAAGAGCAGAGCAAGGATGAAATGAGTTTCATAGGCTGGAGCAGCCGGTGCCTGTCTTCTACACCCCCACAACCCCTGATTCCCCTTCTAGGCAAGCCTGATCAAGGATCCCTCCACCCTAGTCATGACACTGTCAGTGCATGCTTTGGGTACCACCATGTCCCCTTCACCCCAAGGGCATCTTCTCTTACCAAGGCTTCTTGAAGAGGCATCTTCAGGAGCTTCTAGTCATGTGAGGAGTGATAAGGAACTCGGGTTATTTAGACATCTTGTAGCCATCCAGGGCACAACCTGTGCTCCATAAGCTGGCTAGAGCCTCTCCAGCAGACCCATATGTACACGGACACTGAATCACTTGAGCTGGAAAGTTACAAGGTACTGTTGTGGTGCTCACATCTCTCAGTGTGCTGCTGGCTATGGAGACCACCAGGCATGGCTCAGATAGGCATCTATTTGCCTCCAAAGCCATCAGGGAAATACCTTCTTGTCATGCCTTCCCACATGGGACAAGGCCAGAGACAACATCTCTTCTGTGTCAGCCCCCTCTGTCCTTCCAGCAGCTTGGCTGGGTCTAATGCAAGTTGATGTTAGACATAGCTTTGTCCCACCACCCTGCTCTTGACAAAGACATCTGGTAGGTCTCTGGGGATAACTCCCTTCCCCTGATGTGCCCACAGATAAAGATCCCTGGGCTCCTGGTTTCTCCCTCTACTAGCTTGTCTGCGATCCCTGAGGTGGACAGCCTGACATTGTCTCTTCTGAAGAGCTTGCTCAGCTGATCAGAAGGTCAGTGCTGCGTCTCAGGAGCAATGCCATCTGTCCAGTTCTATGGAGGAAGAAGAGTTAGTTGCAATACCTTCCAGCAATTTGGAACCTGAGTATGGCTTACTCATGCCTGGGTAAGGACTTTGCATCGGTGGGGAGGATCTGCTATCTCTGCTCTGCTGGTGCAGCATGAATGGCACATAAAAGGCAAAATCTGCCCTCAAGTTTCTATTGCTGGTCTCTGACTTTCTAAAAAGAAGCACTTCACTGTGTGGAGGCATGGATGGGGCCAAAGAACCAAGCAATTAGAGCAAATGATGGTGCACAGCAGCATTCACACATGCTGTGGCTTCATGTTCAGGATGGTGAGGGCTGCTGGTGCTGAGCAGGAGCAGATGGAACGTCAAGACTGGTTGGCAGCACAGGTCTTCTCATCGTCTTTCTGTCCTGTGCTGAAGGTTCCTCAGAAGAGCTCAGCTCAGGCATTCAGTTATAAGACAAGTCTCCAAACTGGCCAGCACTTAACGTCCAAAGGACTTCCAGAAGCCTGACCCATCAATCTGTCATCTCCATAAGCCCAGTCTGGAGACAGTCGTGCCATCAGACCATCACTCACCGAGTGGCAGGCTCAGAGCTGCAGCCCCCTGTCCTCAGCGGCTGGGCAGAGCTGCCCCTCTCCCAGTAGCTCCCGTCAGCTGCCACCAGAGAGATGCATCAAAGTGAGTGAGGGGGTGACCAAGGGTGGAAGGAGAGGGACAGCTGAGTCACCTCTCAGGATGGGTGTAGATGCTCCTGATCCCTTCGGGGATGCAAAGGCACAAACGCACAGCTTCGTCTCTGCTTGGATGAGTCACGACTTGACTTTTCCAGTGCAGGCAGCAGCTCTTGGTATCATCACCAGTGCCTCTACCAGACATTTACCAACCTCTGGGACCCCTGAGGGCCTCAGCAAGGCTCACTCTCTCCTGCTTGTTTTTTTTCTCTCTCTCCTGCTGCTGTGTATTTGGTCTCATGGAAGAGCAAGGGTGGCCAGCATCTGAGGATGCTGCTGACTGTGGGGTGAAGGTTCTCAGATACAGCCCTGGGACAGAGCTGCTGTTTCCAAGGAGGTGACATGCTCCCCATGAGACCCAGTCCCAGGGCTGAGCGCTGCATCACTCCATGCAAACAAAAAGAAAAGTGTTTTCTTCCCATTGAGAAATTTATTTTCTCTGGCCTGAAGTGCTCTGCACTACCCACCTCTCGAGGCCGCCTCCACAGTCTCAGCCATGGCAGAGAGCGCAGCCGGGCTGAAGGTGTTTGCTTGCTGGGGAAGGAGGCCCAGGCATGGCAGCAGGAAGGGCATGCCTTTTGGGATTTGTGGGATTTGTGGGAAGTTCTTCCCATGCAAGGAATCACCGCAGACCCACAGCCCCTATGTAGGGTCTTTACCGAAGGCAAGGGGAAGCCTCATATTTACCCTTACCCCATCTCTTCTTCATCCCTCTTATCCCCCTGAACATCCCCCTACAACCCTCAGCTCCTGTCCCTAAGCCGTGGTCCACACTCTTTTGATGTGGCAACTAAATGCCCCGTCCTTCTGGATGGCCAATGAGTAAGAAGCCAAACTCGAGATCTCAACTCGGTCATTCACTCCTTGGGTGATTCTGGGCTTCTCTACACTGCTTCTGCTCCCAGACTGGGCACCTCTTTCTTCCTTGCACCCTGTGGTCGTTGGAGCAAAGATTGTGTATGTAAACACCAAGCAGAGCTGAGCCCAGACCCCAGTACTGGTTTCATAGTGACTTCAACAGGACATTAACCTGGGCTCTTGCCACAAGAAGCAATATGGCTCTTGGCAAATGTCAGCACCGTGGGGCTCCCAGCCCGCTGCAAGGAGGTGTTAACACCAGGGCTCTCAGTGCACCCACGGGTCCTGCGACCCCTTCCCCACCTGCCAGGGGCCTGGAGTTCTGGCTGCCTGTGCTGAAGGGCAGCCCTGATGTGGGACAGCCACGTCACCTGGGGTCAGACTGCTGGACAGACAGATAAGATGTGAGAAAGAGCTGCGTGGAGCCATCACTGCAACTTCCCCCGCTGTGCTTGGGCACTGCGTTTGTGCTTAGGTCCTTGCCCTTGGTCCTTGCCTTGCACTGAAGCCTGTACCTGGCTGATTCTCACCTTGCCTGGCGGACTTGACTTTCTGGCTTGACCTTGGACCTGCCTCACCACTGCAGACCAGCGTGGGATTCACTGGACACAGCTGTGAATCTCTCTGCTCTTGCTCACGTGCCATGAGGCTGCGTCCTGCCAGTGAGGACATCCTTCTGCCTGCTTTGCTGTCACCTTAGCTCCTTCCCATGAGGAGCAGCCCACTCTTGCCTCTCCCTGGCAGTTATTATCCCTGCTTTACAGAATGAACGTAACAGAATTATTAAAGTGTAGGCACACGGTGGCTGCATGAAGTTGCAACAGCTCTTACTTTTCCTTGCCAGCTGAAATGCAAACTGCCACTCGCCTCCCACCGCTCTGGGGATCTGTTCAGAAGAAGGCAGGGCATGTCGTGGCCCACACTGCGTTTACGTGGCAAGGTTTCAGAAAGAAATGAGCTCTTCTTCCATATATAGCAGCTGAGAAACAATTACTGCCCTTGCCTCTGCAGTGGAGGCTTTCACTGTCGTGTCTTCTTCTGTACTGGCATCACACTGAGGACACTGCACAGGGTCATTTTCTGCTGATGAGTGGCAACTCACTAAGCTTTGATGGCCCAACGTGGGTCTGAGCTCAGGAGGCTTGAGGGAAATTGGGTTTGCAGGATGAGTTCTTGCTGAGACGTGACCTAAGGCACTGTGCTTCTAATTGAGTTTGTTCCTATGAATTCAAGCCTGCAGAGAAAGCAACAGCAAGGACACAGAGGGAGCATCTTCTGTTCAGACTGCACCAAATGTTCCTGCCCCAAACTCATCCTTCCTCTGCTTTCCAAACAAGCAGCCAGCACCGGCCCTGGAGTGCTTCTGTTTTCCTTGCCACTGATGAAAGCACAGCTTTGGAGAAGGGAAGGGGTTAATCTGTGCCTTCCTCACTCTAGGAGGAAGGAGTCAGGTGCCCAGGCATCATAAACATGGACCAGCTGGACTCAGACTCTTCTGGAGGATGTATTAGCTGAATCCACTGGCTCAGGACAGGAGTAACTGCTGGAGAGAAGGGAGCAAGAACATGTGGTCAACATTCTCTTGCCCGAAAATCTGTAATCTTATGTGATGGAGTCCTTGGTTCATTAAAAGATCCTCCCAAAAGACTGTGAACCTGACCTGAAGGCCATGGTGTGTCTCCAGAGCCATTTTTAGTCCTCTTGCTTTGTATTCATTGTGTTAGCACTCATGATGAACAGCTGAATGCTTGATGCAAGAGCTTTGGCTGGTTCATCCTTCACTTATAGCCATTCTCCACACTTTTCCTAACAGCTCGAGGGGGAGGTGAGTTTTAGTACGCAGCACATGGCTGTGCAGTGAAATCCACATCTGTGCATGTGCTGGGTGGTGGTGGTGGAAAATCTCTGAAGCTCACCTGAAGCATAGTCCCCCACCACGCTGTGATGTCCCTCTCAAATATCTCAGAGCTTAGGCTGAGTAGGAGGTCCAAATGTGAACACTAGTACTAATCCCTATTTGAGACTATATTCCTGTCCCAGCCTGCTCTCCCTGTCTTGCCTGCTTTGCTGGGACACTGTCTGCTGCAACCAGAATCCCATGTTCCAGAGAAGGCACCCCATGGCCTCTGGGGAGAAGTTGTAGGATGGAGCTGCTCTAATGTTTCCAACTCTCCCAGGAAATGGAGAGACACCTTAAAATATTTGATTATTTTTAATAGCATGAAAAGGAGTCAGCAACTGGGCAGGACAAAACAGCTAGAAAGGTATGAAACATCACTGACGTAACCTGCGGTGGTGTCTACAACATCTGTAGGGTCTTCTGTCGTCTTGCCCTTCTCACCCTGCTAAGCTTTTGCTGGCAGAGTGAGTCATGTTGGCATGTCCCTTATAGCGCTGTAGGTACAGGTGCTCGCTGGCGCTTCTGCTTGTCCATCCGTTTCACCTCCATAGAGATGTCTGTGTAGTCTTGGATAAACTTCTGTATCTAAGGGAAGAGAGATGGTAGAGCTCAGGGCAGGGTGGGAGCAGAAGGCAGAGGGGAGCTTGTTGGCTCTTTTGGAGGGCAAATTTCACCAACCAAACTGAGCAGGGTGATAAGGCATTTGCCCTTCTGCATCTGCACCACCAGAATGGGCTTTTCTGGTTGAGTCTGAGTTCAGGGCAGGGAGGAATGAAGCCAAATTTTGGGTTGATCTGCATCCCCTGCTCCAGCCTGCCTGGCTCCCACTCCTTCTGCCCCCACAGAGACCCACACCCTGCTCTGCCTCCTCGGATGAGACAGGTTTGCCTGGTGTTCTCTGCCCATTCCCCATGCCCGAGAGAGAGCCCAGGTGAAAAGGAAGGTGTCTGTTGGGCACCTTGACTTCTCTGGGCTTTCCCCTCCCTTTGGGCAGCTGAGGGTCATTACTGCTTCTCTTTCTGGGTAGGGAGAAGGGGTCTGGCTTGGCTCTACCATGTTCAGCTGTCTGTGGCTGTCATCCTCCGGCACTTTCAGGTTTACTTTCAGCTGTGTGTGCACAGACTGGGAGAGGCTGAGGATGGCCATCTTGATGGTCTGCAGCTCCAAGTTTTTCTTGGCGGTCATGTCCTGGATGTCAGCCCAGCGAGTCTCCTGAGAGGAGAGGAGATATCCAGCATGAGGACATGCCCCAGCAAAGATGCTGCTTCAGCACTGGAGACCCTGGCTTGGCAACCCAAACTTCCATACTCATCTGCTTTGCTAGGAAGAACCTGTCCTTGCCTGGGGCTGTGCTGGAGGTGGTTCACCTTGATGTGGTGGAAGCAGATCCAGGAACCACCACAGCTGCTCCTTGCCCCAGGAACCTCCCCATCCCTCTGCCAGCTCCTGCAGTCCTTGCCCCAGCGGGTCCTCCCTGCAGGCTCCATGTGCACTCCCCACAGCAGGGCTAGCTGGTACCCTGGGAGCAGCACATCCCACTGCCACCCTCCCAGGTCAGGTGCTTTCCAGCTTTGCCTGATGGGACTTAACTCCTGGAGCCTGGAGTATCCAATAAGGGAATTTGGCAAGGCCTCCCCAGAATGATGCAAAGGGAGCAGAGGCCAGCAGAGCTGGGGGCGTTTCTGCACACTGAGCACTGGCTACACGTTGATGTGCCTCAGTACAGCCCAGTTTACCGCCAGGCTGGTTGCTTTTGGACTGGTAAGGAGGGATGAGAAGGGGTGGGCAGATGCTGTGAAAAGGATGAAAACAAACAATAAAAATCAGCAAAACCAACTTCACTCTGAGGCCTGAGCCATGAACAGTGGCGATCACGAGACATGCCACACTGAAGCCCCATTACAGGAATGATGCTGCAAGGAATGGTGAATGGAAATGAGTATGACCAGGCAGGCAAACCCACCGGGCACGTGGTGGAATATGTTTGGGTTTTGTGCCAAGGCAGACCTCCCTAAAGCTTGGTTAGCTGGTCTCTTTTGACTGTGAGTTCAAGCAAGAAGTAAAAGATCACAATGGCCTTGTTTTAACCCCTGATGTGACCTGCTCCAGACCTGGTCTGTCGTTCTTCATTCTATAGCCCCTTGGAGGGACAAAATTAGGCAACTCCTCCAATCACAAGGACTTCTACTGGGCCTTGCCATGACTCCATGGCTTAGAGATGAGCCATCAGCTGGTCCTGACACAGCCAAGCCTTGGAGATCTTCCCCTGTCCACCCCACATTTCCTCACCCAGAGGTGGATGTCACTTTGAGCCTGGTCAAAACGTAGTTGCAGCTGCACCAGCTCATTTTCATACTGCAGGATCTCAGCTTCTTTCTCTGCCTTGTACTGGTCCAGGAGCACCTTGGCTTGCTCAGACATTTCCTTGTGTCCCTGTTGTGACTGCAGCAGGTCCTTGTGCATCCTCACCAGTGTCTTGTAGCGCCAAATGACTTCCTGGATCTCCTCAAACTGCAGCACAAGGCTCCTGGGGTTAGTAATCCCCCCACCCTCCCGTCATCACGATTAAAAGTCTCGTGCTGTTTGGCACCCTGCCCTGACCAGGGACAACACTTGCCCCAGCTGAAAGACCTTCCCTTCTCAACGAGGCTATTGCCCCAGTTGGTTTGTGAACATCGCCACATCCCCCGTGTGATGACATCCCGCTGTGCCAGTCCCAGAGCTGTCACTGCCGTAAGCAAGGGGAGATATCGCACCTGTTCTCCAGGTGAGCAGTGCTCAGATAAAACACAAAGCACAACTGGAAGTGCCAGCGCTGAGTCACCTAGACATGGGAGCGGGGCAGCTGGAGCTGCAGGAGTGTGAACAATGAATAGAGTGATCCCCGGGCATCCTGAGCGAGGACACAGCTGTTTTGACAACTGCCTGGGTTCCCATTCCTGGGCAGCTTTTCACTTCTCCCAAACCATCAATGTGACATGAAACAGTGACACAAAGGGTCCCCATTCCCCTCAGCCTTGTGCTTTTCCCTCTTCTAACAGTTTTTATTTGGTTTTCTCAAGCCTTCGCCTCCTTTTCTGTTTCTCCTTCCCGAACTCTGGCCCCCATGGCTCACCTTGGTTGCAGGGAACCGCTTCCCATCCCATCTGAGGTCTCTGGGTTTGACCAAGTGTTGTGATTCCATTGGACTTGCCTTATCTCATCTAGGTTTAACACCCACCTAAGGCACTCCTCAAGGTCATGATCCATCTCCCTCATGTCCAAACTCACCTGTGAGATCTTCACCACATCCTCCAGATACTTGATGAAGATGGAGTACTTCTGCACTCTGTTGCAGAGTTTTTGGTGCTTATTTCTCAGGGCTTCCAGTTCTCTCTTAGCTCTCAAAAGCTCACTCTCCTTTTGCATCTTCCCTTCTCTCTCTTTGCTGGCTTTCTTCAGAGCTTGGATTCGCATCTTATCATTTTCCTAGTGATGTTTCCCGCACCAACACACACACATGCATCCACCCACACAGAGGGAAAGGAAGGCGAGGGAAGATGGAGCTGGGTCACTCAACAGCACTGGGAGGAGATACCTTCACAGAGGAGTGACCAATACTGGGGCACCCTGGGAGCATTTCCACTCCCTGTTTAACAGGGCCATCCCTCTTGCATTGACCCTTCAGTCTTGGAGATGGGCACTTGAGATGGCACTCTAATTTTCAGACCTACTGATATGGGTCTCTGGAAGAGTGTCAATCGTGGGGACAGGCTGAGATCCTTCTGGGAGGATTCTTGGGGCCCTCAGGAAGTCATACCAGTACAAGACAAGCTCTGTCCCACCCAAGCCCTACCACGGCTTTCCACATCTATGGTACCAAACCCCATGTCTTGTCAGTCCTGTTCCTCACACCTCCAGGCTCAAGGGAGGCTTGGACAGATGTGGTGGTCAAGACTGTCTCCCCAAGGGAGGGGAGGGAGTGGTGGTGTGGCTCAGGGTCATGTTAGCCAAGCTGATCAGGGGCAGGTATACCTTTAAAATCATCCCGAATTTCTCCATGTGGGTTTTCAGCTGAGCCTCCTTGGCATGGAGGTCCCTCCACCGGTAGGTTATGACTTTCATCCTCTCCCTGAAGTCCTGGCAGCATCAGAGCAAGTGTGACATGGCTGCCTGCACCTGGAGACAGTCACCTACCCCTTGCCACCAACCCCTCCCAGCCATGCCCTAACCCCCTCCCATCTTTCTACCTCTTCCTTTGCCTCCAGAGCCTTTCGCATCAGTTGGGTTTCTTTCTTCTTCTTCTGAAGGTAAATAAATTGAGACACTGAGTCCTCCTCTGTCAGTCCAAGTTTCCTGCCACAGAAGTTTTCCTCGAGGTTACACGCTGGTTCCAATACCTTGGCAGGGTTTCAGACCCCATCTGGCAGCATGATATCCCCACCCATCCCCAGTGAGAGTCCCACTGACAGAGCAAAGGGAAGAACAGGGCTGGGGGAGAGGTACAAGAGGAGACCGAAGTGGTGGAGATAAGGAATGGTGGGGGGAGGAAGCATGGAGGGGAAGGAAGCATGGAGGAGACAGGAGAAGGGGATGGAGGGGATGGAGGCAGGTGGAGAAGCCCCCTCACCTGAGCAAGGACAGGAGGTTCTGTCTGTACTGCACACGGAAATAGGCCAACAGGTCCTTGTAGGTTATGGTGGCCATTGCTCCAGCCACCAGCAGGGCCCAGAGAGCCCAGGTCCTCCTGGCACTCCTCTTCTCCCAGGTCAGCCCAGGAGCTGCCCTGCAAGCTTGAGGGCTTGGCCGGGCAGGGGGTGAGTCCCTGAGTGCCTCTTGCCTCTACTCCCAGGACCTTCCTTGCCCTAGTCGTGCCTGTGGCCGGCGGCTGTTGGTGGCCAGTTGGCACTGAGCGGTTGCTGGGAGCAGCTCGAAGATGCTTGGGTGGTTACTTGGCAACTGAAGTGGGTGGTGCCCCCACGCCAGTGAGGGGGCCTGACCACTGTGTGCAGGACCAGGACTCATCAGCACTGAAGGAACACTGAACAAACGCAGATTTCTTTCCCTTCCTCTTTCTCTTCCTCTCTTTCCTCCTCTGCTAAAAATCAGCCCCCGTGTCCTGAGACCTGTGCTGTCTCGGGCAGGTATTTCAGCGCCCCAATGCCCACCTCGCTGTCTCAGAGCTCAGGGCAGGAGCTCACCCCTTCTCTCCCAAAACACCGGATGGAAGGACTGTTAAGCTGAGGCACATCCTCAGGGATGCTTGATCATCGTATCACCCATGGTTCCCTCTCCGTGTGAGACTGAGGTCTACCATTCCTGGAAGCGTTCAAGGCCTTGAGCAACATGGTATAGTGGAGGGCGTCCCTGCCCATGGCAGGGGGGTTGGAACTGGATGATCTTTGAGGTCCCTTCCAACCCAAACCATTCCATGATTCTCTAAAAAGTAATTGATTTTTTTTTTTCCCCCAGAACAAGGCATTTGAGCAAGGTCTATTGCCCAAAATAAGGGGTGATATTCCTTTGGGGGAGGACCTACAGATGATGGTGACCTTGGGGTCTGCTCCTTCCACAGGAGATTTCACCCTCTGATGTGTGCTCCTGTCGATCTCTGGCTTCCTCACTGGCTTAATGTACAAGAGCATTTCTGTGAGCTCCTGACACTGAAACACCCCTGGCTTCATGGCAACGGGTATGACTCTGTAGGGAGAAGACTTCATTTCTGTTACAACCCTGACTTGCATCAGGGAAGTCGTTTTCAGGCAGACATCACCCCTTGCTCGTTACAAACCAGTAAGAGCTGGAAGAGACTGCCAGATCTGTCTGGTGCTTTAAACAGCGAGAAGATGTATGGCCCAGGAAGGGACCATTTGTTGTATGAGAGATGCTTCATTTAGAGACAAATGATCCAAGGCAACGCAGTGAATACGCCTGGCTCTTATTACTGAGGTTCAAATTGGTCCTGTCAGCGACAGGGGACTTACCCTCTGTCCATCCCAAGGTCATCATGGGGCTGTTCCCATCCCGACAGGTCAGGCAGGTTAAACCTGGTGTTCTGGAGCAGGTTCTGGACCTTGGCATGGACAAGTCTTGCCTGGGAGTGGGGCTTGTGCCTGCCTGCCAGGGGAGGGGGCTCAGCCCCTGGAGAAGTCCTGCCACCAACCCTTGCATCCCCTGGGCTGGAGGAGTTGCTGGTCCCCAGCGGAGCATGGGAAAAAAAAAAACTCAGCACATCTGAATTTCAGGGACTTGCTGCCGGGCAGGGAGCAGGGGCAGAGCGTGCCTGGGAAGCGGCAGTGCCGTGCTCTTTCATGCACGCAGAGCTGCGGGGCCGTGCGGGTCCTTGTCCTCCAGTGGCTGAACTGTGCTGCCTGAAATTAAAAAAAAAAACACACAATTTTTGGGGAGAGCAGACTGAGGCAGGTGCTGGGCACCGGCATCAGCACTTCAAGCAATCAAAGGTCATTATCGTTATGAATAATTGGAGACAGGCATTTCCAAGGGGAAGCACTGGCTGACTTCCCAGTCTGGCTGAGAATTCCCCGTTGCATGACATTTTGTCACACGAATGACAGACAGGCTCCAGGGAGCAAGTGGTGTCATCAGTCACCTTCCTGCTTGTTAGGCACGTGTAACACTGAGGGGCTGCCCCATCCCTTTGGCTCCATGGAATTTCAGTGTTCCTCAGGAGGTGCAGCCCTTCCTCAGCAACGATAGAAAGCGCAGCCCATAATAACATCCCTGGGGTTTTCCCTTCCACCACAGATTGCTGTAGGATTCGCACTTTCCACGCTGAACACTCTGAACAAAGCTACTTCTGCCTGCAGGCTTGTGAATGAAGGAGAAATCACCACCGGCTTTTATTCATACTGATCAGTAGAAGTTGCAGCTGAGTCCAAGGAAGGTCAATCAAATGACTCAGGGGGATTTGGGGGATCTCCCAGTCCTCTCGTGCTCAGGGAAAGCCCCTTTCCGTGCATCCTTTTCACCACGTGTTGGCAGTGGGAGCTGCAGTGACCACTGGCTTAGCACAGCAGAGAGCCAAGCTCAAACCCCTTGTGTAACTCTCAGCCTTTCTCACATGGCATCCCACAGACCAGCCATCACCAACGTTATCCCTCTGCTCCTGCCTCCTCCTCCCCTGTTTCGGCAGACAGCAGAGCTGCTTGGATTGGAGAGCTTTGTGTGCCCCGTCTGTGCAGCACCTGGTGACCTTCGCTCCTCGTCACCACCACAATGCCATAACGACTGCCATAAAATACGTGCACTGCAGCAAACAGGTCTGAGGCCAGGAGACCCCAAGACTTTATGCAAGGGGCTCATCTCTGTGTGAGACAGTGAGCCGGCTGAGGACAGGACTGTTAAGTCCAGAAGATGTGGTGTGAGATGCCCACTTGTTACTAAGGTACCAAGGATGTCTGCTAGGATGTTGGGAGGATGCTCTGGAGAGCGGCTCCCATGGACTCACCTTGATAGGTTTTCCATGTGACACATGAGGCTGAGCCTCTCCTGGGACAACCTCAGGAGAAGCCTGGACAGGGTGGCTGGATCTATCTGGGTGCATTACTGGGGATCCCCGGTCTGCCGTTGTTTTCTGAGTTCCTCCATGTTTGCACTGATGAAGCTTGTATGTGCTCATGGCTTTCTGTGGTGGTCCCCAGCATGGCTGGGCCAGGGTGTCACTCAGGGGTCCCCCTGCCAGTGTTTCTCCGAGCTCTCTCATGTTTGCCAGGAGCATTCCTTTCACATATTACCCAACAGTCATCTCCAGTACATGCAGGCTCTGATGGAGTCCTTCTTGCTCGCATCGCCTGGCCACAGCTCTGCCCAGAACAGCTTCCTGCTGTGGAGAGGACTCTTGGGTCCAGTGTCTGCATGAGAAGGATTAGTAAGGAATCAAAAGGGGCACTAGTGCCAAACAGTCACTATCCTGGGGATGTAGGGATGATCTAAGGTGGGAAAAGGTGATCTCAGCCCTTGTGGTTGGGAAGAGAGGAGGAGGAGAAAGCAGTGGAGGAGGAAGGTTCAGGATGGAGGGAGAGGAAACGCTGTGATGGCTGGAGAGGGACGGACACGGGTGACCAAATGGGTCTGAAAATGCACCTTGTGTGTATTTCCCCTGCAGGTGCAAAGGCTGATGGGTGGCCTAACACTGACACCTGAATTTTAAGTACCCAGTGCCACATGGGTACCTGCCATGCGGCACTGTGGTGCTCTAGGCACCTGTACCAACACCCTCCTCCATCTTGTAGCATCCTCATCCCCACGGGATGGGCGAACCCAGCCCATCAATCACCCACAACCACGTGCTCCCCTGACCATTGCCTGCATCCTGGGGTGCTAGGTCCTCCTGGGCTGGTGTCCGGTGGGTGGGAAACCCTGGGCAGGGATTAGTCCTCTCCCCACCCGGATGGAAGCTGAGCAGGAGGAGCTCAGACCCTGCATTTCACAGCTGTGGTGAAGGTGCTTGCAGACAGCTTTTTTTTTTTTTTTAATGTTCCTAATCACCATTTGCCGCTTTTGTCCTCACATCGAGGTTTTCTCTTCCACAAACGCTTTCCTCCTCAATACACTATGCATTAAAAAGGAGTTTTTTCCTATTATACTCTCCATAGCAACTGCATCATCTTGCCATGAATAAATTACCTCTGACTTGACATCCCTTATTAGAATATAGAAAATGCCATTTCTGAGTCACAGCAACCCAGGAGAAACCTCTTCTGTTCATCCCTTAGGTACACCCCCCACCTTTTTACTCTGTGAAGAAATCTGCATTATTTTTTTTTTTTTTTCTTTTAAACTGCTCTGCTCCCAAAGGCCCTGGAGTTGAAGACTGAGGGAAAGCTGGTATTGACTTTCCCTTCTGGCCTTCAGAAGCTCTCAGCACAGTACAAGATGCCCTTGGTGACAGCTGATTCCTTTAAGTCACTATTGGCTCTGTATTGACATGATTATGAAGGACCAAATCTCTTCCCAGCATCTTTCCCCAGTTCTTAGGTCCCCAGGGGATAGGCTTAAGGGAGAAGGTGAGCTTCTCTCCAGGGAGACCATGACACTGTATCTCGGTGGGCACAGACAGCACGGGGATGTTCCACCATGGTATCTTCACTGAGCGCCCAGGGCTTTTGGAGATGGGGAGCAGTTCCCATATGGAACTGGGACTGTCTGGAGCCGAGGAACGATCCCTGCCCAACTCCAGGAGTCTGTCCAGCCTGAGATAATTCCCAATTTGCCAAAAGCACTTGAATTTTCTCTGGGCCAGTGTGGTCATAGCCCAGGAGAGGGAGCACTTATTAAACAAGTGTGCAGTCCCAATCCTGCCCTGTTTCCTTTCCCTGGGATAACTCCAGGCAGCCTTTCTGATGGTGGGCAAGGGGCTGGCCCTTCTGCACCGCATACCCTTCCTCTGCCCTGTCCCCATCCCAGCCTGCCCTGCCAATACGGTTGATGCTGATGGCAACGCAGGATAAACGGGCTGATCTGTAAGTGGGAAGGGGTGGGGGAGCCTGAGTCACTGCTCCGTGCCTCTCCCCCCACGCCACCGAGCTCCCCTGCTACCTTCTCTCTGAGTCATCTGCCACAGCAGGATTTCGGCTTAACCCCCAGAAAGCCAAGGCTGTTGGAGATGTCCATCTCCTCTGAGAACCCCAACACCTCTCGAGCAGGCTGGGCTCTGCTCTGCAGACCAGATGTTTTCCCTTTCGTGG